TGAGTCATTCACGACATGTGAGGAAGACGGCGATACTTGATCCAGACCTGTTTCTTGAAAAGGGTCAAGCGGCGAAGATCCAAAGAAAGGTTCTCCACAAGGTTTTTGTACTGATCTAGCAGCGCAGCATCCAAATCCTCAGAGGAAGCAGTCGTGGCCATGATGAAGAGGCTACAGAGCACATTTTCCAGTTGAAGAAATGCTTGGTTAAGGGGGTGGACGGGATCAAGGGCCAACGGGCCGGGTACATTAGCGTTCCCGTCAGGTTGCGGTTCGTACGAAGAGATGTCCACCATCGGCAGGGCGACTGGATGAGTCACAAACACAAGGTCATCTGGAGTGGAGATGGAAAGGCTTGTATTTATAAAGAGCGATCGCAGGTCGGACAGCTTGGATGATTGTATGTCTGAGGAAAGGGAAGTTTGTTCAACAGGTGAGCGACCACGTGATCTGCGACTATTTCGATGTTCTTGATGGCTCTGTATGGATCGCACTGGAGAAGATGAACGGCTCCCCGGAAGACTGTGATATTGGGCGGGAGGCCGGTCATATGGCCGCCGTCTGGATGATGATCGGCTACCTGGGGCACTGGATGGTGCCCTTAGACCTAAAGCAGGACGAGCATCTGAAGGCGAACGGGGGGGTATGGTCAAGAAGGCGCCGAATCTAGAATGGTCCTCCATCTGCCGAAATGTGGCTCTAAGATCCCTATCCTGCTGATCACGACTCGTCGGTGACACAGAGAGAGATCTTCGTGATGAGGATAATCTCCTTTGCGGTGGAGACGACGACCTGCTTCCTTGAACATTGTGGCGTGAATGATGAGGAAGCTGCGACAGATCGCTAAAAAAGGGGGCTGTAGGAGTTGCAGGGAGAATGTTTGCCATGAAGGCGTTGCTTGATTCCGCATCGCCCTCCAAGACCTTATTCATCCGTTCATCACGCTGGTGACGCTGAAATGTTCTGACGGATATGGTTTGTCCGTCGGGGAAACTGGCAGTGCAGGTACTGCATCGACACAAGCGCTCAGCCATGGTCCAGGAGGGTAACAAGCCCGGTCAAGTAGAATTGAATCAGATCAGCATCACAACCTATATGCGACAAATATTCAGCACGCGGCGTTTACATAATGACGTTTTGGTTCCAATTTTGAGCCAAATTTATTCAAATTTATTTTTACCATAACCTGGCCAAGATCATCCAATCGTGAATCCATCGAACGTTGACTGGGACAAATGCTACCAGCTCAGATCCTGAATGGGGGCCCTGTTTCCGTGGATGTCTTGAATGATATGCCTTCCACTACACTAAATAGAGCCACATACCGTCCTCGGTCCCCTCCCTGATTGCGAGATCAGTTGCCGGATGTTGATTCAACCATAACGATGAGATAATAGAAGAACCCAGGGGGTGAATCAGGGCTTCAAGTGATTTTTCGCTTTATTAACCTAAACGAACGGTAAGACATCGTGACCTTAGAACGTCTATGCTGAATTTTCGCGCTCACGAGCATTCAGGGATCATGAGGAGCAAAGCTGGTAGAAACGTGGAACGACATCTTCCCGAGGTCGCAATGACAGTGGTTGTAACCAAGCACGTAAGCTTGGATTGATCAGTATACCATAAGAACGATGTGAGAGAAATTCACGGAGGGCATGTGCCGCGAAGCAGTTGGTCGTTGCGAGAAGGGTGCAGCCTTGGCAATGGCAGTACTTGCTAGAGTTCTCTTGAGACCTTCAAAACAGTATGTAAATTGGCCAGGTCAGAAAGATGAGATGCGACACATACTGGATAAGGCGACGTCGTGAAATGTCGTATCCATACTAAATGGAAGGAAGGCACGATCCGAAAGGTCAGCTGGTAGATACGGCTCCCTCGTGAAACAATTTCAGGAGGCGCTAAAGAACTTTGAGCAATACGGCTAGAAAGGAGGTTGGCAAAACATACCAGATCGAAGTAACCATGCCAAGGCTAGCGACTCTACGGCTTCGTCACAATTCATGTGTAAGCTCTCGTTTCTGCCCTTGTCGAACCGAAGAATGGAGTATGTTGGCACATTTGTCGGCTTGAAGAAATTTGAAAGTTTTATTCCCTGGCAAAACCACAAGACCAGGGTTCATTGAGGTAACGTTGTGAGGTAGTCTAATATTCTGTAAGATTGAGCGCACCCTTGAAAAAAAGTGGAACACTTGCCTCCGAATCGTCGTGTATAGCGCCTTTGTTCTCGAATGTACAACGAACGTGGAACATTGCTTCTGTCTTGAAAGAAGAAGGAAGGGGAAGAGGAGGAGGACGTGCACACTCGAGTGAAGAGCGTGCCTCGGTATCATTGTCTGCATCGTTGCCATCTGGTGCTGGACGATACGCAGCCATTCAGCCGCAGCCGACGAAAGACCTGCACGGCAGCGCGTTCGGGAAGAAGAACCTTCACCTGTTTTTGGTCTTCCAATTTGGTCAGTAAACCGTTGAAACGATTTCGGAGAAATCCAGGAAGGGCATGTGCCTTAATCGTTGCAACAAGGGCGCAAGCTTGGTCGATACACACTGGAAAAAGCGATGTAGGTCCATGTAAGCATTTTCTGTTCGAATTGCTCGAAAGCACCTGTTAGATTTCGTAAACTTTCGGTATCCATACTGAATGGAAGAAGGACGCACAGTCCAAGAGGTGATGCGACTTCGTCGTGGGACCAATCGGGAGGGCAGTGGATCCACTGTAGATGTTTGCGTCGAGCTCGAGTGCGAAACCTTGAACATATCCAGCGTTGACGTGATCGGACGGCTGTCGGCACATTTTTAGATCATGGCGCCCGATAAGACCACTACTGACAGCGTTGGACCAATCTGATACAGCAATTTAGAAATTGAGATTGGCGTTTACAGTAGTTACGCACCATTCCGCCTCATCCAACCCCTCTGTCGCACAATCCAGGCCATAGTAGTAGTGACTACGGCCTTCACCTTGATAGTGGCCTTGGTCTCTGGCGGCCTTGTTCTTCGTCCTGGTCGTCGTTGTGCATGAGTGGAAGAATGATCATGATCGTCATTAATATTCGGAATAGCTTTGGAAATAAACACAACCAAATTATACATACCTCCCTTCACCTCTCTTCCAACTCCAAAAACGAACTTTACAGGCGCTCCGCGTGGCGGGGCTGTTCCTCCGATCGTCTCATGAAATATGAAGCCCATTCCATTGAACTCTCTCGGGTCTATTGCATTTTTTTTGCAGCGTCATTCCTGACTGGTGATTACCTGCCTGCTACATGATATACGATGCCGTCTAACTTCTAGGTCTTCAGATGAACTTATCGCTATTAGGGTCACTTTATATTATACCTCAACATCTAACCAATTACCCTTGCGTCGTCACTCAATCAGATCCAACCTGCCGGTGCCTGAGATGTCGTGAAACAATACCACGAGAACTAACACGAGGTCTTGTCCAGGCTTTGTCATTTTGCTAATCACTGACGATTGACTGGTGACTGCTAACCAGATGGTTAGTTTTAGCTAGCTTCAATGAGCATGACTATCGGCCGTCGTCGAACATTCACCTCTTGACAATCCTCCTGATTAAGCTTGGCCAGGGATGGCACAAACGTCTTTGCAAAACTGAATCCCTTTAGGTGCCCACACACCTCTTTGTCGCATACGCCATCACGTGCAGCCTCCTCAACGGTAAATCTTCTTTCTTCATCTCTATCCACTTCCTCCGCCACTCGACGCACTTCTTAGCCATGCCAGTCCACCGTACGGCACCCAAAGATACCTTTCGCGTTACCCACGCTGTAAGTTCTCATAGTTTCTGATCTATTGTCCTTTGATTCATGCGAAGTCTTCTCCAGATCACGACGCGCGCCATCTCTTCAGTTCTCTTCGATTCATCAAAGACCGCTGCAGCGACGGTATATGTTCCTACATTAGTTTCCGAGGACGGCAAGAACCGCTTTCCCTGCTTCGAGGTGGTCCTGGGAAGAGACGCCCCCCTCCATCAATGCACTGTCGCAGTTGCCGACAACATGGGAGTTAGACACAAGTACCTTGTTGTGACTCAAACTGGTGAAGGTCTTCCACGCAACCGGGCTTTGCAAGATATCGATTTCGATCATGAATGGCATGGATCTCTTCTCGTCATGAAATACGGGAAGAATTTGCCTTTCGTTGGGCTTGCTGGGCTTGCAGACAGAAATCGAGCCAAGGTTGCTCTTCAGCGGTACGCCAAACCCCTGTTGTGTCATATGGCCGATACATATGTTGGGCCATCACAGATTCCTTGTCGATTCACAGTTCGCACCTGTCACTGCAGAGGTCAAGAATGAGTTACCATCCGAGATCTGGTACTGATCTTTACTAGAAGTTTGTATTTCATTCCGACTCTTTTACAAGCCTACAAACTGACATTTGGCCCCAGCTTCTCTGCATCCCACCAACCAGAAGTTATCATCCGCTTTTTCATGTGTTTAGTGGTTTATGCACCAGTTTACAGCGTTCAAATGCCCGTACTGCATATATAGTTTCAAGTTTATGTTGTGAATACGATACGAACATTGAAGTTGGGTTTCCCCGGTCACAGCTAATATGAACTAGATATTCCGAGCGCAGTGTAGACAGAGGAGAGATTAAGTTCGTGAACTTCGCGTGTTTCCCCGGTCTGTGGAAGAGACGTGACGACTTCAATGTCTTTACGAAACGGGCGTTGTCAGCAACGAAGCGATAGGGGGACAGATACCACTCACAAAAAAGGTCGAGAGCTGCGTTGAGGAAGCAGTTAAGATGTCCTCTCGTCCTAAGGCAGCAGCAAGTCGTTTCCAACCGTCCAGGTGGCGATTTCGCACTGCAATGGTAGCTGCATTATTGAGCGAACGAAGTTTAAGGTTATTGATCTGGCCAGCCTTCTTCAAGAGCAGCGCATACATCTCGGCAGGGGTAAGATATGCCCAAGGTGTGTTTTCATGGGCGCTGTCTAGGGAGCGGTGTCACCCATAACAGTATTGTCGTTATCGAGGACTGAGCAGGACGTACAAGGGATCGGATTGACCTCCTTGCCTTTCTTGCTGGATTGACCGTGGCCGGTGCATCGCATAGACTGGAGCACGAGTTTCTCAGTGCTTACAGTGACTTTCCATGGGAAGTCCTTCGTCGTATCAAGGAGAAATGGATAACGGGCGAAAGGCGATTGAGAGTTGGGGAGTTTGAGCTCGTATCCAGGACACGGAACCTTAGGCTTGGTGATTTCGCGCCTGGTAGTACGTGTATCATCTTCGATTTCGAATATCTCGGGGGAAGCTAATCTGAAGGGCGATCGAGATGGCTCTACAATTTGTGCTGGCTCCAGGACACTTTTAGTCGCTGTTGAATGTAGACATCAGAACTTGAGGTATTCCCCGTCGAATATGAACAAAAGACTTACATGAGCTCCATAGCTTCAATGAGCCGCTGAATCTTTACCTCAAGTAACGCTTCATCGAATCGATATGAAGGTCCTCAACGCACGCCTTTACCCAGTCGTACATCCCATCCATCCCAAGTCGACCTCGTCGAATGATAGTCGAAATACCCTCTGGTGTTGCTCCGTAACCGACAAGCCGATTTAAAACTTGATCTAGAATCTCCCAAGGCTCGTCGTCTGGACGGATCAGCGCTGCTGGATTCCCCGAAAATGCAGCCAAGTCGTCTGAATCGATCGCAACAGGTGATAGCTGCTTTGAACCTGTTAATTAGCGTGACGGAAGTGCTCGAGACTTCTCCGAATGTGACTGGGTGCGGAGCACCAGGTAAAGATGCAAGTCGAACAGGTTCTCGGTTTGGTAGAGCAGGAAAAAGACGAGTAGGAATGGGAGACATGGTACCCATTGAACTGGAGGCGGTAGGCGTCACCGTCTTGGTGAAAAACGAAGTAAATTTCTTACTGGGACCAAAAATGGAAAGTTGATTGTGAGGGCACGATTCAGCGCATGCAAGTCAAAGCTGAGGCCTGAGGGAGCGCTGGAGGGAGCGCGGAAAGTAGAGAGAGTAGTGAGAGATGTGCG